ATCTCACTCTTGAATCGCATATCTCTTGACCTAAAGATCCGATTCTCCGGAATATTATACTCTTTGATGAGAAACTGTTTTTCCTCTTCCGTCCCAACCGTCACATAGATATCGCATCCGTAGTGTTCGCACACATTAATGGCCGCCTGACTCACACTTCCCGCTTCGGAATGTATTAATACACTTTCGCCTATCGAATACACAATACAATTCTATTATAACTACAAGATAGTTAACTAAAAACATACCTTTTCTAATATTAGCCTTTTTAATGAGTGCATAATATACTGTCGAATAGCTGTTAAGTACAGTCACCGCCTCAGCCATTGACCAGTGATCGGGTATCGGAGCCATATTGAGGACACAGGCGTTAACGTGAGTGGCGATACAGCGGCCGAACTCAATACCCATAACCCGTTGCCCGGTATCCGCCCGACACCCGGCGTATTCCCCGCCTAACAGACAATCAGTAAACATTGAGTCAAAACCACCAGAAATATGGCCTGAAATTTAGATTAGAATTTAAAAAGTTACCAAGATCATTTGATCAGTGAGTTCAGTATAATTACCATTAGTTATTGATAGATCACGAAAAGAAATACCAGAGCAATAAATATCAACTCTTGTTTTGTCCACTTTATTATTGCCAAAATCAAAGTTACCAAGATCATTTGATCAGTGAGTTCAGTATAATTACCATTAGTTATTGATAGATCACGAAAAGAAATACCAGAGCAATAAATATCAACTCTTGTTTTGTCCACTTTATTATTGCCAAAATCATATTTAATTAGCGGTACATTTCGTCCGTCAAACCATTGCAAACCCGATATATCACGTGTTTGTCCCATATTTAAGAAGTAATCATTTGATAGACATTTATCAAAGTTTTTAGGCAGTTTTAAGTGTCTATAAGTGCCCACAACTTCCCCTTTCATAACATTTGCCACCAAATCATTGGCCAATATATTAGAATAGGGTTCGACTGTAAAGTCAATACAATTTTCGTTATTATTGTTATCGTTATAGAAAATATAACGGAATATCTCTCCTCCCGGTTCTAAACGCAAACAATTCATTAAACCAATGATACCATTGATTGTCGTGTCGTTTGCCATAAGCCATATGTTATCACAATTATTAGCCTTAGCTTTTGAAGTGATGATTTTTTCTTTCAAGACTGAAAACCATTTCATATAATCTTTTGTTATATTAACAATATTTTCAATGTTCGGGATTTCATAATAATCTTCAACTTTTCTGAACAATAGGACAGCACTTCCTATTGTGTCATATTTTGTGGCAATTATTTTGAGACCAATTTTAGCCGAAACTGATTGAAACGCTTTAATACGTGAATCCAAATCAGTATTGTTTACACAATTTGTTATATTCAATGAATTGAATGCAATCTCCGGTTCTGTTAGCTTATATCGGAATACTGTTATTAAAAATCCATTGGTTTTGATAGAGTCATACAAATCTTGTATAAACTCATTCAAATCCAATGACCATAAGTCTAATGAGTCCCTCAATATAATCAAATGGGATGGCGAGAGATGTACTGCACTCTCACTCGGTTCCCATTCCTCCATTTTATCGCCAAATTCTTTATTAAATTTATTATTATTTTGATTGACAATAAGTTTATAATTTGTATTCAAAGCCATAACACGAAATCGAGAGATAATTCTTTTCACATGTTTAATGAATAGATTATTAGTGAGATTGATCTCGGTCACATTCATATCACTAATATTGCCCACGTTTTCGCAAACCATATCCACAACTGATTTAAACAATCTTTCGTTGTTTTGAATTTGATTTATTATATCATTATTTATATCGTATTCCGGATTCATTAGTATTTCGTTCAAAATCTCACTAATAGTTTCTTTCACATCAATAACATTCATATTCTGGTCAACAATTTCTGTGATAATTGTATTAAATATATGAAAAAACACATGATTTTCATTCTTTCTATTTCTATACTTTTGTAACACATTTTTGTCAATAGTTTCATAATTAAAATCGCATTTTAATTGTGTTGCTCCCAATTGACACACCTTTCCGGCCATTGATTTGCATAACTAATACATTTAAAAATAATGTTTTGACATTAGATTATCTTATTTGGTAGAATTTGTGTCAATAATTTGCAAACAATATAATATTGCACTAATTTTTAAAAATCAATAAAACTCTACCTTAATATATTGCAACATTTCTGCGCGCATACTGTCATCGATGGCCTCCATATCATTGTTAGGACAGAACTCATAGGACTCTAGTGTAAGATTAGTGTCGGGCCTGCGGGCGATGGGATGAACGACCAGATCATCGATTTCAATGCCGGGCGACACCAGTTGTCGGGTAAGACTGTTGTACCGAAAGGGCATTTCTGCGGAATACACAGCGTAGCGATCATTCAATTGTTTCTCTAAGTCAACGTCTTTCAATTGTATTAAATATATGAAAAAACACATGATTTTCATTCTTTCTATTTCTATACTTTTGTAACACATTTTTGTCAATAGTTTCATAATTAAAATCGCATTTTAATTGTGTTGCTCCCAATTGACACAACTTTCCGGCCATTGATTTGCATAACTAATACATTAAAAAATAATGTTTTGACATTATATTATCTTATTTGGTAGAATTTGTGTCAATAATTTACAATCAATATAATATTGCACTAATTTTTAAAAATCAATAAAACTCTACCTTAATATATTGCAACAGTTCTGCGCGCATATTGTCATCGATGGCCTCCATATCATTGTTAGGACAGAACTCATAGGACTCTAGTGTAAGATTAGTGTCGGGCCTGCGGGCGATGGGATGAACGACCAGATCATCGATTTCAATGCCGGGCGACACCAGTTGTCGGGTAAGACTGTTGTACCGAAAGGGCATTTCTGCGGAATACACAGCGTAGCGATCATTCAATTGTTTCTCTAAGTCAACGTCTTTCTCTAATGTGATCTATGTATAAAGTAAATTAAATTGTTGTTAAAAACCATGGTTAAAACCATTTAGTTATTAAATAATTGCCTTTTCAAAATCTTCATCGCTATCATCGCTATTCGGCACATAAAATGCGGTGTTGTTATGGGCTAAGCAAAAGTTAGTCTTAATGCTGTCAAAGAGTAGGCGGGGGTCGACACACAGTCTACGGATCATAACGGGCACAGATGTCTTGCGGAACGGCTTCTGAATCATTGTCGCCAACAATAAGCCGTCCAAATAAGTCACAGGATTGCCCGTCCATTCGCACCGACCGTACGATAGTATAAAGTCGTCGGTTCCGATACAACTGAGCCGTTGGAAAGCCGGGCCGTGATCTATACACAGAGCCCTCACATCGTTATAAATGTCTTTG